GCAGGCTTATTTAAGCACGGCATGTCAAGGCCACAATCGCATGCTGGGCAAGGGGTGGTGAGTACAAGACCATGGGTCACAGTTTTCGCGTCGGAGGCTGGCAGTGACCATCCTTCAAAGTGTCCGGAGCAGAGACGATGCCGTGTGCATGCTAACTGAACTGTAGCTGTGTGGAGACACAATGGCATGGCACAGCTACCATTCTATGGAGAGGCCCGTTCACTGTCTGGTGTAGAATCCGACCAATCTACACAGGGAAGGAACGCTGCTTGGCCATGTACAGGGGACGGGTGAGGTTCGGCTGGATTGCCGTCTGGAGGCTGTAGAGCTTGTGAGTGCACATCCACATACTCGTCGTGATCGACCAGCCAGACCGAATGAGATTCTACCACCAGGAGATAGAAAGAGTTAATATTTCCCATCGTGTGCACCCTACCCCCATCGTCCCATAGGGTCCATGAATCATCCGCAAAGGTAACAGCACTGAAATGACCTGGACGATGCAAGATGTACGCACAAAAATTTGGGTCCATGTCTGGCATGTAATTGTGTGGAGTGGGTTGGAGTAGTAGTCGTCTTCCCATAAATGCCATTGACAAGAGTTCTATGTTCACACCAGGCGCTTTGTACTGTCATCCTCTGGGCAGAGAACACGATGCTCTTCTTCTATCCAACAGACGATGTTTGCAGAGTCAGAAACAGTATAGGGGTTGCAATTGTAAGCAAAGAGACATACATGAATGGCAGTACGCACAGTAGCCTCACTGTAGCCCAATGATGCTATGAGACTGATTGAAATCCATGTATCAGCATGTCCCCATACACACACAAGATGACAAAACAGACACAAAGATAGTATCACAGCACATTTGAATTGAAATACCAATTGAGAGTCCCCCGTCTCTCTCCTCCTCAATCAGCTGCACAATAGTCCAACAATCCCAACCGGGAATGAACAAACTCAAACAAGCTCGAAACAAGCTTCAACAAGCCCTCTCAGAGTCTCCTTCTTCCTCCTCCAACCTGCACACTCGACAGCCATTTCATTAAAATGGACATTTTAATATGATTTTATATTTTTCGAACCAAATTGAAACCTAAATTTTTGGCCCTAAAAATGTCACCATTCTAGCTCATGAGGGTCCATCTGGACTTAGCTGAAGTCCAGATACATCCAAGGGGGTCCGGTGTTTTCAGACGGTGACATTCTTAGGGCCAAATAACTAGGTTTCAATTTCGTTCACAAAATTTTAAATGTCCGTTGTAACAAATGATTGTTACTCATCCCTGGCTATGGCATCCATACAGCAAAGCAGTGGCCAGCCTCCAGACATGCACACAACCAGCGCTACCTCCGAATCCTTCTATCTGCACCAGCGCCCTAACGCATCAACCCAGAATCGAGAGCGCCAGCCCGGAAACCATGCAGGAGCACCAGCGCCTGCTAGAATCCACTGTCGATAACCAGCTCCAGCTCCCTGAAGAAGAAGTAACCTCCAACTGGTTCCCTGAAGATGAAGATAGGGCAGCGCCTAACCGCAAAAGCACAGATATAAAGCCACCAGTCTCAGCGCCTGCAGCACCTGCTTCAATGCTGGCTCTGAGCCCTAGCAGTTGCCTCCAGCTACGATGCTGCTACGGCAGCCTGGCGACGTCAACAACAGTCTTCAAGCAGTGTTTCACCCACTGCAGACCAACAGGTCCCAAACGACCTAGACTACTACAAACAGACTATTTATAGTTCGACTGGACTGACTCCTAGGACCAAAGACGCAGCAAACAACCGTCGGCCTGACCTAAGACCGGTCCTGGCCTCTCCTTCCAGTAGTGAAGAGTCACTAGTCGTTTCAGTCAACGAAAAGTCATCAGGCCTTTGCAGTCACGAAAGGTCACCGGTCCTATGAACTTCCCCCGGCCTTGCAATCTGCAGAGTCAAATATCTCATAGTGCTACAGTGAGGTCACTGCGGGAACCATACCAAACACCACAAGATCTCCACGCACACCAGGAGCACCACTGCTTAAAACACCTTAGAAGCCCCAATTTCTTCCATGTGCTCCAAACGAGCAGCCCGTGGAATGACACCCACAGCAAACACTCTCTGAGCCTCCTCGCAAAGATACCGTGGCCAAAACTCCAAACATGCGTTCCTACCCCAAGGAAAACTTGTGGCCACCCACAAACATTCCTTCACAAAAAAGACAGCCCAGTGTGTGTGCGTGTGTGTTAAATTTTCACCACAACAGCCCCTATTCCACCCAGATGAGTAGATTCGAGTTGAGCCAGCCAAACAATTAAACAATTTCACCTCTTTAGCAAGCAACATGAATCATAATAAAACTATTCAGAACTGTGTTTAGCTGGGGTTTCTTTGGGCCAACAGCTCCTTTTTTACTATGCCTCACATGTACAAGGCTGCCCACGTTGATGGTGGTTAAGCGGCAGCTGCCCACATCCCTGTGTGCCTTAACGACCCGCTTGCACATTATAACAGGAAGCAGAGTAAAGGGGAAGGTGTGCTCCTGTGCAATTCACTAAAGATCTTCATACTCCTGTTCATTTCACTTCAGATCTTCAACTTATACTTGGTCTTTGTGTCATTCGTTTTCATACTCCTGTTCATTTCATTTCAGATCTTTTGCTTATACTTTGTCTGTTCCCTTAACGATGCTCATTCGTATGTATTTGCTAGTAGCACATAAGGGGAGGGTGGAGGGAAAGGGATAGGAGGAAGAATTCTAGAGGAGTGTGGAGTAGGGGGAAGTGGAGTGCAAACGGCAGGCGAGAAATATGTGAAGGGCAGGATAGAGTATAACATGCACAGGGCAGGGGAATGATATATTGTCACAATGCAAAGGGCAGGGGAAAGTTATATTGTCACATGCAAAGGGCAGGGGAAAGATATATGATGAACTTCGCAGAAGTCTAAATACTCACCGCTGGAACACACTACTCTAGGATGGCACATGAGGTCAGTTAGTGTTTGGGTTGCATAAGATTTTTAGTTCAGGAGCAGCTATTGCCTATGGTAAGTGGCCACCCCTACAGACTGGACAGGACCCGCTCAGGTGTGGACTGTGGAAGCACTGCATCCAATTTTCACAGTCGCAGTTGCTGCATCGAATGGCGCAGCGCAGACAGATGTCACAGGCTACATGGCTCCCACATGCTAGGAACACGGAGGCAAGTCGACTGCAATTATAGAGGCAGCCCCTGCTTACGAATTGGACATGACATGTCAGGGTGCCGTACATGAGTACAGTACTGACCGTCGCTGTACATATGAAAGCAAAAACTCGCATGGGCTATTCCTTCATAATCCTCACGGCACAAGGCATGCGAACCACAAGCTAGTTGAATCTCCGGAGGGTCATCACAAAGCGGCATGAAGCATCTTTCTTGGGTTTCCTCAGTATGTATTCCTTCTTTATGGGCAGACGAGGACAGGGAGAATTCGTCCAAAGCAAGGGTGGTCAGATGCTGCAGGATTTGGGTCGCGACAGCTCGCCCTGGTGGTGATAAACTATCAGCACATCGCTCTGCAGGTGGTTCATATGGAAGTCTATTTTCCTCCTCGGGCTTCTGTGTCTGTCATTTGTCTGGCAAGGAAGAGGGAGATCTGTGGCTGCCTTAGGTGTATGACCAACACCGCATGTGGGACATGCTAGGAGAGGATGTGGCGGATGATGGCACCGGGGATAGTCCACGCAGTAAAGACACATACTTTCTATGACAGCTTTCTGGAAACATTGACGACACATGGCATGTTGCTCACATGTCATCAGTATGGAAGGCTGACGCACGCAGTTATTTAATCATGGCAGATCAAGGTGTGAGGAACGAGCCCTCAAGTGGCCCTATCAGACATCACATTGTTCTGGGCTAAGACCCCAAAAAGCCAAGTGCCCGCCCTAAGTGAAGGCGGGCCTGAATATTTGTCACAGGCCAAATTCGACATTTCCATATGTGGGTATTCAGGCTCTCGCAGCGCGTCAGTTGGTTGAGTGAACGCGCGAGCCTCACTAAGCTGCGTCGTACAGTTGGCCCAGGCCACCGAAAGTTTTGCCTGGGCATATACACACAAAGCAGGGCCGATACATTGAGAAGCAGGCCGTCGGCCTTTGAGAAAAGCAGTACTGCCGACGCACCTATCCGGGGCCCCTACGCAGATACAGCCAACAGCCAGGCCGTGCCCAACTGAAAAGGGCCCAGGCCCTCAACTGTAAGTCTCGGGCCTGGGCACAGGGTCTGGGGCCCAACCGGAAGCTTCTGGAAGCTTCCAGCCCGGCCACACGCAGCCCAGGCCAGGCATTCTGGCCAGCGCTGGCAATGCGGAAGTGCTGCTGCGTTTCTGCTTGATGCTGCGCTAATGCCGGGGGCGCTGACGGAGCGCTAGGTGGTGAGAGGGGCGCTGCAGGGCAGCGGGGCGCAGGCGGCCATAGCCGGGCTGCTAGGCGCCAGGGGGTACAGCGAATGATCGGGTGGTCTTCAGGGAGTGAGGGGCTGTGTGGGATAATCAAGGTCTGATTGAGGGGGACGAGATACGTACCTGGTACATGAAGAGAGGTCGCCGATGGTGTTGACAATCATGTACATTGGTCTTCGTGAGCCGAAGTGATCCTGTTGTGTGAACCAGCTGTAGGGTAGGATAGTGTGGTAGAGTAGGCTGGGCGCTGTACACCAGACAGGAGAGCGACTCTGGATACTGTGTTGGTGTGGCCTACGGGCTTGGACATTGGCTCAATACTTCATTATACTGCTCTTTATGGATGGTTTTCTCGGTGCATTTGTACTCTCTACTTGGGATACTACTATTTGCTCAGCTGTGCGATTTCACAACTTGGTTTTATGTATATCGCTCACACTCATATTCCTTGCAATTTGGTATCGGAGCTGGAGATGATCGCCGCTTACCTGGCACCGGCGACATTGTGACTTGGTGCGCTGACGATGCTTCATGTGCAGTAAGGATACTTTGCGCTGGTTTAATAGCGGGGCCTAGGTAGAGAGGCCGGCCGCTGGAAGGCTGTGGCGACAGCGTGGGAGCTGTGGCGACAGCGGGTGTATGCATGATGATGAGAGTATGCTGACATGGCATTTTGGCTGAGGTGGAACTGCATTGCGTTGTGGGTGGTACCGAGGCTATTGACCGGTCATCGAAATGCACATCAGCACAATTGGTGAGAAATCTGTGGTTGGGGGCAGCTATCTCCAGGTACGTTGTTCCCATTCCTTATCTACCCTCTCAATCTCTTCTTACCGTGAGGAAGTGAGTCCAACTTGAGTGTCCTCTCTTTGGTGAGGAGTCGTGTGCGCTCTATCTTGAGAGACGACATTCTTCCCGGTGGCGCATCTGGCAGGAGAGGGCGGTGCCTCTGAAGGGCCCTGGTCGAATCACGGGTCACGGTCACCATGCCAACCCATGGTTATTAGTACACGCAGGCCATGCTGCTTTGTCCATTGAGGCTCTTTGCTGCGCTGATAGAAGGGGTGTGCGGACTGACCAGTCCTATTGAGACGCTACCAGACCGTCTATAAACATTTCTGGTTGGGGTCTGAACTGTCCACTCGCTGTGATCGTCGTCCTGTTTGCGACGTTAAATAATTCCTGAGGAGATGGAGGCTCTCCTTAAATCCCTCCTGATCAGCCAGATCAGTCAGACGTAAGGCTCGTTGCACACGAGGGTAAACAAAGGGGCAGGCTGGTCATAAGCATACTTCTTGGGCACAGGGGTGGGCCGTGGTTGCACACCTTAGACACTGCAGCTTGATGATGCTCACAGGTACGCTGGATACAGGGGAAGGGGATTCCAATTGTGAACTCAACTGTACATCACTGACATATCCATTGTGCATACATCTGCTCACAGTAGTCTAAGTTTTATTTTTGATTAGTTGGTTGACCGACTGCTGACACCTAACAGACAGACTAGAGTAGGACTGTAATCTACCATAGTCAGTTCTTCTCAAATCTTCTGTGCAGACTAATCAGAATAAGAGTTAGACAATGTGTACAATTTGTGTAGATGTTGTTGATGTCGCTTGACTAGTAGGATAGGTAACTCGCCGGACATACATTTATTTGTTTATTTTTAGATCCGGTCAGACGCATGCTGTGGTAGGTTCCAGCGAGGACATTAGTGCAGACAGCGTCTGCCTAACCTATGAGTGGATCAGAGGGTGGTGAGGGTGCAGATGACGATAGGAGGTTAACAAGGCTATCATCCCTTAGAATTCCTAGAGTGTTCTGGGCCCTGCAACCGGTAGAAGAGAGAAGATTAAGGGCTGAAGCTAGGGCCCGTAATCTTGAGGCTGTAAGGGAAGCAGCAGCCGCTAGAGCGGTAGCAATGGGTACTTCTGCAGCAACTGCTACGAACTCAACTGGTCAAGGGCTAGGCATGCCGACCAGTTCACAGTCAATCTCCAGTACGTCAGGGGTTGGCACTAGTCAAATGGCGGGCTCGCAGTTCAGCTCGCCGCCTCCGCACACTCGGGAGCAGTCCTCTCCGCTTAAGGTTAGAGGAGGAACTTAGACAGGCTACTAAAAGAGAGAGAGAGATCAAAGAAAGAAGTGTCAGATTAGAGGGCAGGGAGGCAGATATGGCTGCGCTAGAGGCATTGGAGGACTCCGCACTTAACACTACAGGAAAGGTCCTGAAAGCAAGTGTCCTATCCATGCATGCGTACATAGACAGTAAAATGGACGCAATGCAGGATACTGTAGACCAGATTCTACAAGCGCTGCATTAGCCAGGGATCCGGCCAGCAGCTTTACCATCGCTGCCACTCTCAGCGATGACAGGCCTCTATGCCGCTCAGTCAGGACCACCACCAAGTGTGTCATCAACAATAGCTCTATCGCAGACTGTGCTTCTTCATCTTCTGGTCCAGCGACTGTTGCTACACCACCGTCGCCACCTGTCTCGCAAGCAGGACAACAATATCCTTGGTATCCCAAGACCCCACTGAATCCACCTTCAACCTTCTCAGGAGACAAGAAGGATGAGGCTCTCGACACATGGTTGAGAACGGTGCCAGTGTGGGTAAGGGCAAAAAGGACATTGGTAGAAGAGGAAGTGATTACTGTTGCATCCTACTTAGAGGGTTCAGCAGCCCGTTGGCTAAACGGATTGGTTGCTTCAAAGGGCTTCGGCAGGAACATGCATGATTAGGGGCAGACCCACACATTAGAAAGCTTTATGGACTTAGTGGAGGCTCGTTGGCACAACACTCAGCAGGCACAGATTGCCACTGATGGGCTTTGAAACTTGATACTGGAAAGTACAAGTCTGTGCGGGAACTCACCGCAGTCGTAGAGCGCCTAATTTTCGTCCCGGGAGTGGAGTACAATCCACAGGTCTTGTTGACCATGTTCCTGAGATGTCTTCCCACAAACATTAGGAATTTATTAGCCAGCGAGGCTTGCAGAGCGTATCACACTTTCGAGTCATTCAGCAAAAAGGCCCTAGACTTAGAGGCTACGCTGGGTGGAGCTCAAACCCCTTCTACGGATGGGAGAAAGAAGAAGACTCCACAAGAGTGGAAAAAGAAGGGTAGTCGGTTGATGATGGTTGATTCCGATGGGAATCAAACAAAGATCGATGATGTTTCTGGACTTGTGGAGGGTTCAAAGTTTGACGGCGAGGAGAGTGCTGAGGGTAGCAACCTCGCCGCTGTAGTCAAGACTAAGGCAGCTGGCCGCGGCAAGGGCGGTCAACAAAGGAGTCAAGGGCAGGCCGCTAACCCAAACAAAATAGCTGCTTGGGTTAGAGCAGGTCTGGATCAAGAAGTGTGGCAGTATCGTTGGTCTCATGGTGCTTGCATTAACTGCGGTGAGTATGGTCACACACAGTTCAAATGCAAGAACCCGAAGGTCTCAGAGAAGATCCCTCCTAAGGGTGGGTTCTCTTCTTCTCAATCTGGGGCCTCTACGAGCTCCAACTCGGGCAACACTTAGGGCCAGCAGAAGTTATAGCTGCTTCTACTCTCATTGAAGCGGATAACGTACCCTCCCCGTTTCAAGAGATGGCCAAAGCTATTGACTCCTTAGTCACCCCGCAGACGCATCCGGACCCAACTATACTTTGTACGTTGGATGTGTCTGAGGCCTTAGAGGACCTTCAAGGTGAGTGGTCGGCAAGGGACCCTCGTGAGTCCTGGGTGGCATTGAGTAGAGGTCCTAGAGGGGAGCATTTCATTGTGGAAGTTGATGTGGGTGGTCGCAAGTGCGGCGCCCTCGTAGACATTGGCTCCACACGAAACTTCATAAGTCGCGACTGCGTTGACAGACTGTGCCTGAAGGACCGGGTGCAGCCTTAGTAGACCGGTAGCATCTACTTTGGCCAACAAAGAGCGCATGATGGTAGAGGACTACGTTAAAGATGTAGTCTGCACCTTCTCCTACCCAGGAGAAGAGATAAACCATAAGACATCATTCCTGGTGAGCGACGAGTTGCCCTTTGACATGTTATAGGGCATGTACTACCTCGAGGTTGCCAAGCCCCAGTTTGACTGGGACAAGAAGGTGTTGAAGCACGAGTTGCCTAGTGGGAGAACCGTGAGACTGGCCAAGTACAAAGCCAGTAGGTTAGTAGACTCCTATGGGTGCTTATGCGTGTCTGCCTTTTATAATTATTATAAACAGAACCAAGAGGAAGGAATGTACTTAGTCTATGTCTCTACAAAAGGGGAGGCCTTTAAAACACCCCCAGAGATAGAGACTATCGTCGCTAAGTACCCAGATCTGTTCGAGGAGCCTACAGGAGTCATAGACAGGGAGATTGTCCATGCCATAGAGATTATCCAAGGTAGTAAAACACCTAAGGGTAGAATCTATAGGATGGCTCCAGCCGAGTTGGACGAACTTCGGCGGCAACTGAAAGAGCTCACAGAGAAGGGTTGGATTCGGCCTAGCACTTCGGCCTTTGGCTGACTAGTATTGTTTGTTCCAAAGAAAGGGGGAACACTAAGGATGTGCATTGATTATAGAGGCCTCAATGCCATCACCGTTAAGAACGCAGAGCCTCTACTGCGCATCGACGACCTATTGGATAGGGTGCAGGGATGTAAGTACTACACAAAGATAGATTTAAAATCCGGCTACCATCAGATTGCCATTAGACCAAAGGACCAACACAAAACCGCATTTCAGACCAGGTACGGTCTGTACGAGTTTGTGGTGATGCCCTCTAGCCTTTGCAATGCGCCGGGTACATTCCAGCACGCCATGAATAGGATTTTCCATGACTACTTGGATAAGTTGTTGTCGTGTACCTCGATGACATACTTATCTTCAGTAGATCTGTCGAGGAGCATGCTCAGCATGTAGACACAGTACTTTCACTCCTTCGGCAGCGCAAGTATAAGATAAACTCAGAGAAATGCTAGTTTGTTCGCACTCGAATCTTGTACTTGGGTCATGAAGTATCCGCGGATGGGATTAGGCCCGAAGATGCTAAGGTGGCTAGCATATGTGACTGGCCACGACCCAGTCTGTGACTGTGGTCAGATTATTCTTGGGAATGTGTGGTTATTACCGCAACTTCGTAAAGAATTATAGCACGGTCACATCTCCCTTGACTGATCTAACTCGACTTGACACACCATGGGACTGGACCGACGAGTGTGAGGCAGTATTCAAACGTTTGAAGCATGCTCTCACACACCATGAGGTTCTCATGGTACCCGACCCGCAAAGGCCATTCGTTGTAACCACTGATGCAAGCCAATATGGGATTGGCGCAGTGTTGGCTCAGCAGGAAGGGAAGAAGTTGAGACCGATTGAGTACATGAGCAAAAAGATGCCTTCAAAGAAGTTGGCAAAGTCCACCTACGAGAGGGAACTCTACCCTCTTTACAAGGCACTTTTTCCACTGGAGGCACTACCTGTTAGGAAGGTTCTTCTACTTGAGAACTGACCATCAGACACTCAAGTGGATCAAGACTCAACCAGTTCTCTCCGATGCACTCAAATGCTGGATTGAAGTCATAGATCAATATGATTTCAAACTAGACTATTTGAAGGGAGAGTACAACAAGGTTGCAGATGCATTGTCTAGGAGGGCAGATTACCTAGGTGCGTTGATTTCTGAGTTTGGTTTGTCTGAGGACGTGACTCGATCGTTGGATGAAGCCTACAAGGAAGATCCCATCACAATGGACATCATCAACAAACTACAGGCTAAAGACAAGGCCACCACTGATGAGTTTGTGATGGTGGATGGGTTGCTCTTTCCTGAGAAGGCAGGGTTCAAGAGGTTAGTTGTTCCATCTAGGGAAACTTTGCGTAGTTTGTTTTTAGGTGAGCGCCACGATGCAACAGGACATTTCGATTATAAGAAGACTAGTGCTAATCTAGTACAGCGATTCTGGTGGCCTAACATGCTTGACGATGTGAAGAAGTACGTGGAGACCTGTCAGGTCTGTCAGCGGGACAAGCTGCGAACTCAAGCTCCGCTTGGGTTACTCAAGCCTTTACCCATTCCTGCTGGCCCAGGTCAGAGTATCTCCATGGACTTCATGGATACTCTTGTGACNCGAACTCAAGCTCCGCTTGGGTTACTCAAGCCTTTACCCATTCCTGCTGGCCCAGGTCAGAGTATCTCCATGGACTTCATGGATACTCTTGTGACAAGCAAGAATGGCAAGAGGCACATTTTCGTCATAGTGGACAGGTTCACTAAGTACGCTAGACTAATCGCCAGCACGTCATCAAGTTGTTCATGGACAATTGGGTGCGTGACTTTGGACTTCCAAAGACAATCATTAGTGATAGAGATGTGAGATTCACAAGCGAGATGTGGAAGAAGGCCACTGAACAGATGGGCAGCCATCTTCAAATGACTTTTGGGAATCATCCCGAAGCAAATGGGCAGGCTGAACAGATGAACCGAGTGGTGCAGCATTTGCTGAGGCATTACATCAAGCCCAGCCAGGATGACTGGGATCAGAAATTACCTCTCATCGCCAACCTGTACAGCAATGTTGTACACAGCACCACCGGCGTCAGTCCTGATCAACTACATCTCGGGTGGAAGCCTAGATCTTCTCTAGACTTCCTCCTGCCTGAAAACCGAACTGCTGCAGCTCCTGGAACCATTGAATTTGGTGTCCAGTATGAGAAACTGTTGCAGCAGACTGTCGAACACACCAAGAAATCTCAGGAAGCCATGATTGGTTCTGAGAACAAGCGTCGCCGACAGTCCACATTTCAGGTAGGGGAACGTGTCTGGGTCAAGGCTAGTGAGTTGGGACAGGAGTTTGGCATCTCTAGGAAACTAATGCCTCAGTATTTCGGTCCCTGGGAAGTCTTAGACATTGTGGGGAACGATTTGGATGGTCCCTCGTACGTCATTCGTATCCCTGGTCACTTACGCACTTATCCTGTTTTCCACGCCTCCAAGCTTGCACCTTTCGCTGAGACAGCACAGTTCCCATCACGGAGATCTATGCTGTCCCCAACCATGGATGACCACGTGGACGTCGACGACATTCTGGATCACAGAGACACGCCTGTTCCCAAGCCACCTGGCAGGGGAAGACCTCCCAAACCTGCGAGGGAATACAGAGTACATTTCAGGCATCATACAGATCCGAAGGAAGATCGATGGATTTCAAGGGAGGAACTTGTCAAGACAGCTCCTCAGATCGTGGCAGATTATGAGAAGAAACTGAAGGGGAAGGCACCAGCATGAAGCATCTCAGCGGACTTTCGAAGCTAAGGGGGATGGAATGTGAGGAACGAGCCCTCAAGTGGCCCTATCAGACATCACATTGTTCTGGGCTAAGACCCCAGAAAGCCAAGTGTCCGCCCTAAGTGAAGGCGGGCCTGAATATTTGTCACAGGCCAAATTCGACATTTCCATATGTGGGTATTCAGGCTCTCGCAGCGCGTCAGTTGGTNTATTTGTCACAGGCCAAATTCGACATTTCCATATGTGGGTATTCAGGCTCTCGCAGCGCGTCAGTTGGTTGAGTGAACGCGCGAGCCTCACTAAGTTGCGTCGTACAGTTGGCCCAGGCCACGAAAGTTGTGCCTGGGCATATACACACAAAGCAGGGCCGATACATTGAGAAGCAGGTCGTCCGCCTTTGAGAAAAGCAGTACTGCCGACGCACCTATCCGGGGCCCCTGCGCAGATACAGCCAACAGCCAGGCCGTGCCCAACTGAAAAGGGCCCAAGCCCTCAACTGTAAGTCTTGGGCCTGGGCACAGGGTCTGGGGCCCAACCGAAAGCTTCTGGAAGCTTCCAGCCAGGCCACACGCAGCATCCAAGAGGCTGACACTTCCATAAAGGAAGTGAGGCAGCCCAGGCTTGGCATTCTGGCCAGCGCTGGCAATGCGGAAGTGCTGCTGCGTTTCTGCTTGATGTTGTGCTAATGCCAGGGGCGCTGACGGAGCGCTAGGTGGTGAGAGGGGCGCTTCAGGGCAGCGGGGCGCATGCAGCCATAGCCGGGCTGCTAGGCGCCAGGGGGTACAGCGGATGATCGGGTGGTCTTCAGGGAGTGAGGCGTTGTGTGGGATAATCAAGGTCTGATTGAGGGTGACGAGATACGTACCTGGTACATGAAGAGAGGTTGCCGATGGTGTTGACAGTCATGTACATTGGTCTTCGTGAGCCGAAGTGATCCTGTTGTGTGAACCAGTTGTAGGGTAGGATAGTGTGGTAGAGTAGGCTGGGCGTTGTATGCCAGACAGGAGAGCGACTTTGGATACTGTGTTGGTGTGGCCTACGGGCTCGGACATTGGCTCAATACTTCATTGTATTGCTCTTTATGGATGGTTTTCTCGGTGCATTTGTACTCTCTACTTGGGATACTACTACTTGCTCAGCTGTGTGATTTCGCAACTTGGTTTTATGTATATCGCTCACACTCATATTCCTTGCAAAGGCCACAACGGCATGCTGGGCAAGTAATCAGCAGGGGGCGGGGGAGCCAAGACAAGGGATCGCAGTTTTCATGGGAGAGGCTGGCAGCGACCATCCCTTCATAGTGTTTCGAGCAGAGGCTATGCCGTGTACATGCCAACCGAACTGTACCTCTGCGACAACACAATGGGAGGGCACACCCACCATCCTCTGGAGAGGTCCCTTCACTGTTTGTGGTAGAATCAGCCGGATTGCTCTACGGGCCGTGCACTACTTGCAAGTGCTCATCGACATACCATTCCTGATGGACGAGCCAGACTGAGTGATCTTCCACAGCTTGGTGATAGAAAGAGTTAATATTTCTCGCTGTGTGCACTGTACCGCATTGTCCCTTAGGGTCCATGAATTATCCGCAAAGGTAAGAGCACTGAAATGACCTCACGATGTAAGATATATAGCCGAATATTTCGATCCATGCCTGGCACGTGGTTTTCTGGAGCAGGCTGGAATTGTTGTTGCCTAGCCATAAATGTCATAGATAGGACTTCTATGTTCGCACCAGGTGCAGGACAGTCGTCCTCTGGGCAGACAGCACGGTGCTCTTCTTCTATCAGTGGACAACGTCTAGAAACAGTATAAGGGTTACAATTGTAAACAAGGAGACATACATTAATGGTATAGTACAGACAGGGGCCTCGCTGTAGCACTATGACATCATCCGATTCCGCAGGTTGCACGGCAGGGGGAGATTCGTTCAATTCTGCAGATTGCACAGGTGGCGGAGATTCATTGCGGTCTTGACCATTTCTGTCAGGTGCCTCCGGCTGTATTAAGTCCATCAGCTCTAGATTATGCCCTCTGGAGAGAGATCACCTTTAGTTGGGGGCTCTATCAGGTAATCAGAAGACGGGTCATTGTCATTTGGGGCAGGGGAGCAAGCGGGGCTAGGTGGATGAGAGAGGGGCAGGTCAGGTGGGTGAGAAAAGGGTGGACCAGATGCGGGAAGCGGAAGCTGATCGGCTGCACTTGTGCTCAGAGCGGCTGCTAGTAACGCTGCACGTCATGTCTGGTGCACACGCAGGCCTGCAGCACTGAAGAAATCATCCCACATTGCGGGCACCGGACTCGACATGTACTACCTGGCTAGCGTGTATTGAAGGCGACAATGTTGTTCCGAACGGTTGCGAGCATGCCGGGGGAGCAGGTCTCTAATCCCTGCAGGAGACGCGGTGATCATGTTGTTAAAGGATAAACGAGGCCGCTGTCTTGGAGGCGGCAATGGAGACAGGGAACGTCCCCGCCGAACAGGCATCTGCAACGGTCGATCTAACGATGGATAGGGTGGGACCAGAAGCGGGAAGCAGAAGCGGATCGGCTGTACTTGTCCTCAGAGCGGCTGCTAGTCGTACAAACGCTGCACATGTAGCTGCACCTCGTGTCTGGTGCACACGCAGGCCTGCAGCACTGAAGAAATCATCCTCACATTGCAGGCATCGGACTCAACATGTACTACCTGGCTAGCGTGTATTGAAGGTGACAATGTCGTTCCGAACGGTTGCGAGCATGCCCGGCAGGGTAGATCTCTAATCCTGCAGGAGGCGCGGTGATCATGCTGTTCAAGGATAAACAAGGCCGCTGTCTTGGAGGCGGCGGTGGAGACAGGGAACGTTCCTGCCTAAGAGGCATCTGCAATTGGTTGATCTAACGACGGATACGCCCGCCGACGGGGCCTTTATCGCAGCTGATCCGACCATGAACGTGATGATGGTGATGTTGATGCTGAGGTCGATGACAAAGAGGAGGCCTTCAAGGTGGCAGAGAGGGAAGAAGGAGAAGAGGAAGATGAAGAAGTAGAGGCGGCAGATGGCAGAGGGGTTGATGTGGTAGAAGACGTCGGTCGGGGGAGTGTTGTAATGATGGTTGTGGTGGTGATGAAGATGATGGCGGCAGTGACGGCCGCAGCCGTGGTGATGGTGGGGGCGGTGAGGGTCGTGGTGGAAGAGGAGGGGGTGGTGGTGGTGATGATGGTGGCGGTGGTGGCGACTGCGGCGGTGGAAGCGGTATACTTTCCACTGCCGACGCCGTATTGGTAAGATGCTGGCCCTCCTCCCTTGCAGCCACATTGGCCAAATTTGCTGCGGCTGGCTGTGTGTGTGTGCACGTGTGGTGATGTCCGTGTGCAAGCAATGGTGACGTTGAGTGTGTGGCAAAGAAATGGGAAGTTTCAAGTACAGTCACAAACACGATAACGAGCGACAGAAAAGGACTGCAAAGCACTTTGCCCAATGACAGGACAGTTGCATCTTTTTTGGGCAGGGGCCCCTTTTTTGGATGTTCCCAGATGCTTCTCGAGACAGCCGTTGGCGAACTTTTTGTTGGCCACGCCAAGAAAGGCCGGTGACATTGGAAGGCGCATGCATCCCACAGCAAAAACAATGCACGTGGGCCGCACCCGCGCCATCCAATGTCACTAATACAACAATCTCAATCGCATCTTCAGGTTTCCTTAGCTCATGAACACACAATCACAATTACCCGGTACCACGCCAGTTTATTCACGGTCTGTAGTTGGTACCCACCTGCAAGTTAGCAATGTTTCAACATGTTGCGATGTCATTCCGTACATCTTCACTTGTTCTGGCGTTTAACTTCATTAGCTGTACTTAAAAGTCTTAAACCACTGTGTACCCGATACTTGGCCTGCATCGTGGGCTGTGAGGGAGTTCATTAGCAGCCTGGAGGCAGCCATTCCGGTACAAGGGGGCTATGACGGAGTTCATTAGTAGCATGCAGGAGGCCTTTCCGGTAGAGCAGCTGCAGAAAACAGCTGGAGGCACCAGCTGAAGAGAAAAGCACTGCAGCCACCAACCTCCACTGTCAGAATGTGATGTCAACAGAAAAGCCTATGACGGGAAGAAAAAATTCAGGCTCTTGCCGCTACCTTCTTCCCCCGAGCACAAGGCCAGGTCATTAAAGCTGTACTCAGTGTAATTCTAAGGTCAGATACAGATATAATGACCCGGAGTTGTATTCGGCGGAAGAAGGCAGCGCCCAAGCTTCAGCAACTCCAAGATTGGGCAAACAACAGGTTTGACAAAACAGGTCCACGGACATTGCTGGTTTAAAAAACCAGGAAGCCTTGAATTATTGACCTCAGCTTGAAGCCTCGAATCCTTTCTTTTTTTTTCCCTCAGCTCGAATCCTGATCCACTCAGATCATTAAAATAACTCTGAATTTACCTGGGGCCAGTCAGTTCAAACTTTGCAGATGATACCTCAAGGCCGTCGCCATGGGAAAAAAAAGGAAAAAACAAAAGGAAGGAACCAGAAAGCCGTGCTCATCTGTCTGCCAGTTCGCAGATCAGCCCACCTGCCTGCCTGTCTGCATGCCTCCCTTCTCTCTGTGCTTGTGGCCTGTCTGTCTGCCAACTTGTAGGCTTACTTCCTTCTTCAACTGCTCACCTGCCTGCGTGAATGCCCACCTCAACTACTCTGCCTTTCCATACACCGCTACATCTGCCTGTCTTTCATCCTCTCGTTGCTTGTATAGTCTGTCTGTTCGTTTGTGTGTCTGCCTGTTTGCCAGTGGCCTGTCTGCCTGCCTACTGGTCAGCTTACCTCCTTCCTCAAGTGCTCACCTGCATATGTGAATGCCCACCTCAATCCCTCTCTTTGTGCACCATGCATCCGTCCGAACCTATTGATCCATGCGCATTGTTCCACCATGTTTGCTAATCACTGATATCCATCAGGAGTCCCTTATCACACAGTCTAGCGACAGATTTGTGTGCATGCGTAGTACTTGTGTATCGCTCCAATACACAACATGCAACATGCATCTGGAGCTGAAAACCCTTCGGATTCGTTGAAAGTCTGCGCTACCCCACTCGGTATTGCGGTCATGTTTGTCCCCATTCCAGCTGAGATTTCCTCTTCTTTAAAAGGGCGACAGCCTTAAGATATCATCATTGAACGGGCCCGGCCCAGGGGAATTAGTACAAATTACTCATCTGATTCCTAAAAAAATGAAAAAAGGGAATTCGAACTCAGGCCTGTGTTTTCAACAGTTTGTGGGTGTACCAACTGAGCTAGGCCAGTTGGTAAAGACTAAGTTTTAGAAAAAAAAAAAAAAAAAAAAAAAAAAAACACTTTCTGGCTAAAATCAAGTGTAGCATCTGTTCCGATCACTTAGTTATTAAAAAAAAAAAAAAAAGATTAAAAAACCGGAAAAAATAGAGCAGAAAGACAAAGAGAGACAAATGCAAGCGAACGTACCTGCGCTACCCCATTTGCTATTGCGGTCATGTTTGTCACCATTCCGGCTGCTCCGGGCTCTCCACCAGCAAAACCCGCAAGCGGATCTAGTTTTGTTAACGGAGCCTTTGAAGGAAACTTGAGGACTTTCTTCAGCAAATTCTCAGCTTTTTTCAAATCCATACCCGGGGGGGTATCGGCAATTTGCTGAATCATTGTCGTCAATGGCGTGACCGTCATTGCATCTCCGGGTGCGGACAGTGTAAACGGCGGTTTCAGACCAGTGTACAGGTCAATACAGTCAGGATCATCCGGCCGGACCAGCAAAGTGCTCTTTGGGGGAGGATCCGACTTGAATGCAAATGAGCCGACATCATTGCTTTTGGTACCGACATCACCAGGACCACATTTTTTGTCGTTGTCTTTATCGATGCAGACAACACAGTTTGCTAAGTAACCGTCCATCATCCAGGCTGTTGTCAGGGCAGTGCACAAGGGCACACAGACATGATTAGCAGTGCTCTGTGTTTTTTTTTTTTGGGATACACTGTATTCTTCTCTCAAATTCTTTCGCCTTTCAGTGGCACAGGGCACAGACATGATTACCAGTATTCTTTCTTTTTTTTTTTAATATCATACGCTAAA